AATGTTGATATTCCATATCATACTCCAGAACATACAGTAACTTAAATAAATAAATAAACCTGACACTGAAACATTTTTAAAGCAATTCACATACATGTTTTGCACAATTGGAGCTTTCAATTATGAAATGGCTTATGGAAATACAGTTACAGAAATAATGAGGTGAACTATTTATATGATCATTTTCGTGGCTAAAACCAGTAAGACTTTAACTATATATTTTGTTATCAAGGCACATATAGTGTCACCAACATTAACAGATTAGAAACCCACACTCCAAGAATGGTTTTTCACTGACAAATAAATGTTGAGGTGAATCCAATTCAGATTATTCCATATTTTGGAGTAACTGGTGCATTAGTAGAGCAGAAACACAATTTATTCCCATTATCAACACCATCAAATTTACAGGAAATTATGGGGTTTTTTTTTTTAAAGTTATTTTTTAACGTCACCTGTCAGAGGAAAAACACATCAAAATGGCTGCTACCATGACAGAACATTGAAAATTCTGCAGTCCAGAGCAGGTGGATACTGGAGAGGACAATGCTCAATGGCAGGAGGATGCAGCCAAACAATGGAAGATATTTAGTTTTTCCCATGCTTCCAAAACTTTGCAGCTTGCCACATGGGGCCAGGAAGGATTTTTTCCCCCTCCTGGTGCAACAGGTGTAAGGGTTTTTTTTCCACTTTCCGTAGAAGCATTGTGTGTTGCTTGTAGCCAGTCTGGAGATTTTAACTCAGGTATATCAATGCTCCTGCTGAACCTAAAACCCAGAGGTTCTTGATTAGGTCTTTCCCATCAGTCAGGGTCAGACCACTTGCCACATTTGGAATTAGGAAGGATAGTAACCCCATGGTCAGATCAGCAGAGACAAGGTGTATAGGAAGGGAAGTCTTCCTCCTGTAGAGTGGCAGGTGTGGTGCTCTTCCTTGGATTTCTCAAGTATATTGCACTGGCAGGATATTGATGGTGCCCTTGTCCCCCTGCTTTACCTCTGACAAGTTAATTAGCATGTTCCTGTTATTTTGAGGGAATGTGCCTTGTAGTTGTGCAATAGGGCTCTTTGTGTATTTTTAGAAATAAGTTAGACAAGCATTTGTATGGAATGGTTTGGATACAGGTGATCTTGCCTTGCACCACAGGTTGGACTATATGATTTCCTGAAGACCCTTTCACCCCTACCTTTCTATGATCATACAATTATAGAATATATGACCATAATTAAACCCCAGCATCATCTCTTCACAGACAGAATAGCCAGCTCCTGGTGTGCAGTACTGGTGTGAGCTCCATCTCCGGGTTCTGCCAAAGGGACTACAATGAAAGTGAAAAAACTGTGCACATATACCAACCAATATCTTAACACAGAAGTATGTGGTAGCCACATGGCAAAGATGAACAAAGCAATCTGAGCTGTTAGTCCATACTGATGCTACTCACTCTTGTTCAGGGTGGAGAGCTGCAGGTGCCCACTGCCAATTCAGCATTCCACTCCCAAACAGCGGCACTGGCAGAGAAGCAAGAAGGATTCTGGAAGAGTGCAAAATTCCTTCGTTTCCTACCCACTGTCCTCTAATTGGGGCTGGGGGACCATGCCCATTCCAGGATGACTTGAAGAACAGCAGCAAAAATATGCTTTAAACTCCGTGAAAATATGTGTTTTAAATATGAAGTAAGATGTTCCCTTCAGCAAGCATTTCCATGGGTGCAGATGCAATAAATATAGACAGTTCCATGTGCAAGGACTTCAGGAATGACAGAAGAATTCACTGCAACAGCCAAGTACTGGAGGTAATTGGGAGCTAAATGAGAGAGAGGTGGTAAAAGGTACTGTAGGCTATATAAAGTAAAATGCTTTTTAAAAAGGCATTGTTTCAGCTGCATTTCTTCTCACTAAAGAAACCTTAAAAGCAAATGAACTTTTTAAAGCTTGTAAAACAACCAGCTGGAGGTTCACCTTTACTAAGAAAAATCAAATATGGCAACTGTGACATAGGACTGATATACCTACTCCCCTACCTTGTCATATTGCTTGTTTTTTATGGTGCAAGTGGCCTGAAAGAATGAGTGGGAATGCTGTAAGCATACATGCACAAACACTTTCATTGCTTTGTTGATAGCCTAACACATTGATTATTTTTTAAACACTTTTCTTGAATTCTCTCTTTTAATGATTGTGCTTCTTAAATTTTTTATTAAGGAGTAGCAGGCAAGCTGGCTTACCAGTTCTATTAGGTGCAATCTAGTACATGCTTGTTTGGGGCAGAGGAGCTCAGGCTGTTTTTAATGAGATGCTGCTAAATATCTGTCCTGTTGTATTTAAAAGCCATGACATTCCTAAATCAAGGTTCAAAATAAAATGAATCTGAAAATGGTAGGTTCTTTTAGAATAAGCCATAGAAGTTACACCAGAGAAGTCTACTTTCTTTTCTACTCCCTTATAACAACAAACAGAAAGCACTACAAAAATATTTTTAGAGAACTATTGTAAAGGTATACCATCAAGTGTGATTGCATAAAAGGAGAGTTAAAAAAAAAAAAACCTGAAAGCATATAAATTCGGTTCCTCAGCAAATAAAATACTGAAGCACGTTACTGAAACCAAAAAGGACGGTACCCAGTCAGTCTTCCATGGAATTTTAGTCCTGTTGATAAAACTAGTCTCATCTAATAAATGGTGGCCTGAAATAAACAGACTACATTTTGCAAGCCACCTGTGACAGACACAAACAAATGCTATAGTTCCAAGAAATGGCAGTGTTAAGAGTGACGTTGTATTAGAAAGCTTATCTAACTTTATCCCAAATAGCACTTGGTCCAACAAAAGATATCACCCTAAGAAGTCCTTGTCTCTTGCATAGTTCCATGCATTAAGGAAAGCGCATTTTGTTTCCTGGACTGAACCTTCTTAAGGACAGAGACCTTGTAAACCGCTATTATAGAAAAGACAGCAGATAGATGCAAAGCAGATTCCACTGGTTCAAACACTGAACAGGTCTGAATATTATGGCTAGAGACAGAAATTATGTATAAATCAGTTTAAGTAATCAGAAACTGGTTTAAACCTGTAAACAGAGCAAAAGCGAGGGCTAGCTGACAAGGATGTGGGAGTGGGGGTAAGCCCAGCTGGGAATGCAGCCTAGTTTGCTCCCCCCCAGGCAAACCCCAGCTGAGGTCTGGCGGCAGGGAGGGGCAGTTAAACACCCTTCCCCCACTCAAACTTACTGCTGGATTCAATTGTGGGGCATATGTACACACCACAATTTTTGCCCTTTAATGTACTGCAACTGCATGTCTGTTTGCACAAGCAGGATTTCCCAATCCTTTAAAAGTCTTTCTTGTGCATTAAAGTAAAACTCCTTGGACATCATTTATTTTGACTCACCAGGAATTAAAGCATCGCGCCCATGGCTTCATTGCATGCAAACACGAAGGCACTCAAAGACATAAAATGAACCTCTGTCCACCAGATGGTGCTGTGACTTTTTTATAGTTCACCCCTTTGAATTGCTTTCACTTTTGAATTGATTCTGCTTTTTTTTTTTTTTTTCCTTGTGTGGTTGGCCAGCTCCCTGCTTCTACAGCTGCGTGGCAGGGCATGGACACATGGTAGGTGGGGGCCCCCAGGCCGGGGGTTGGCAGTGCTGGACCATCCCACTTTCCTTTGGCACCAGCCATGGACCCAGCTTAATTCCTCTGAAAACCTAGTGCATGTAAACACAGATGTGATGCTCCAAAATAAACAAAATTTAAATTTTATAAACTTATTTAATTTAATGAGGAGTAAAGAGGCACCTGGAAGCAGAAAGAAGAAGTGATGAGCAACCCTGCAGAGTCCTGCTGATGTGATTGTGGACTGCAAATCCCAGAGACCTTGGGGGCAGCAGGAATAGGAAATGAGCACACAGCTAGAGAGCCATCCTCTAGCACCCCCTGGCTTCTGGCCTGAGCCACTACAGGCATGTGGCTAAGTTTCCTGAATCAAAGGTAAATGTCTGTTCATTTCTGTTTCAATTTAATCTGTGCAGCTTAACCTGTAACCTCCAGACTGAATTAATTCATCCTTGGGCTTTTTGACTTTGTACCTAGCCTACAGGTACACAGACTTGAACTTTGCAAAGTAATTTGGGACATCCATGGCTTGCAAGAAATAAGGACCAGGTCCTGCATACCTTTGGCAAACTGAAGCCCAAAGGGGAAATCTTGGCCCAGAGCAAACTCTTATACTGTTATTCTATAACAGTTTTGAATAGAGCTAAGTACGTAAATTAATTTATAGTTCCCATTGAACACAAACAGCTTCAGCGACTGGCTAGACTAATCTCAGCTTTCTGCTATTAACATAAATTAGTGAGAAGGGTATTCTTAGTACATCCATTCCTGAAGTTGTTTGGGGAGGGGATGATCTTATTATTGAGCTCACCCTTCAAAACACAGCAAAAAACACTGAACGCAGTCATAATTTTCATTGAATCTTCTCTACCCCTCCCTTAACTCTAGTACTTAAACCTATTTTAAAAAGGCAATTAATTGCTTTCACAAGAAGTACCCAAGCAATTCCTCTAACATAATACACAAATTCCCATAAACCACTAGGTACCTTGAGGGTGCCTATTCAATTTTAACCATGCCCTTGACCTTCTGAACCATCTTAATAACAACCATTAGCCTTTTGTATTTGAGGCTTCAGTCCTTACATCTTACTGCAGCTGCAAGCTGTACTGTAACACTGTCACACATCTACTTATATATGTATAAAAAGTGATTTTGACCACGGTGGGAGGGCAGGAAGGTGTGGTGTCCCTCCCGACCCCCACAAACTCCCTCAAAAGTGACTGCCCAATTCCTAATGGAGTTAAGCAGACATGTTATTCACATGCAACCAGCAATATGCTAAAGTGAAATAATACCAAAGAATTATCGCCAGAGCATATGGGAAATCAAAATCAAAGATACAAGGTCCCGCATATACTATGTGAAATAGAGATACTTCTACCTGTATCGAACATGCTCAATAGTGTCATACGTCAGTTTGCTACTGATGTTCTGACTATGCGGGTTGCCTAGGAGACAATAGAGACATAGAAGTTAATCATTAATCACATTTTTGTTATAAATTTTCACCCCCCCGCTTTTATCAAATACTGTACCAAGCCAGTCTAAAAAGATGACAAAGAAAGATTTAATGTATACTTCACAGAAATGCCCTGAAGCTCTTTAGAGCAGTTAAGTCAAGACATATAACAGAAAAAAGCAATTATGACAGACCTTGAAACTTCAGCTGCCAGACATAACTGGATCAATTACCAATACTTAGAGAGTTCCATTAGAAGGAACTAAAGATATACGCTATTCCACCAGAAGGAAGCAATAGACAGCGCGTACATATGTAATAAATATGTACATGCGTGAGCTAACAAGCCAATAACAGTCAGAGGGTTAGGAGGCTTAGTATGTTGAAGCAATAACGATTAATTCTTCAGCAGCTAGGTTTAAATCCATCATATGTCTCAAATGCAAATAGTTTCTGCAATATAAATGTGGCTCCTCTAAGATATCTATTCTATTGCAAGCTCATCAGCCAGCTTTCCTCAAGTCAACATAAACAGGTCCTGTTAAAAAGTTAAACACAAAATAAATAAATAAATAAACTAATTACAGGTATAAATCAGTGATTCTCAGCCAGGTGCTACAGCACACTGGGGTGCCTGCAGATGCTTTCAGGGATGCCCTGCAATGTTAGCACTGTTAGGTGTGCAAACGTGATTCCCACAATAATCCCAGACATTTCAAACAGGAATTCATAGTGTTAAAAACATTCTGCTCTGTTATGATCTTTCTGAGCATTCTGCAACAGCAGAATTTCTCTATTATTTTTCTGTAGTTAAAAAAATAGAATGAAAAGTAAGAGCTGACATTTTCCAAGGGGTACCTTGAATCTAAAAAATTTTGAAACCCCCCAGTACAGATTTTGATGAAAAGAGAATGTAGACCAGAAGTCTAAGTATCACTTCCTCATGTTAATAAGCATCTGACTTAACCAAAGTAGATATCATTTGAGAAATAAAGTTTTTAAAAAGATAAGTTCCTATAACACTATAATTTTTGCAAAAGACAGTAAAACAGTAAGTATTTGTCATAGTTTTTAAACATCATGGACTAGAGAGGGAAGCTTAAAAAAAGCAACCTGGCAAATTTCCAGTATGAAAAGCAGTCTCAGAACTTGTTCCTTGTTTTTTTATCTATGCTTGTACCTTATTGTTTTCCATTTGGAACATCCTTAGCTTTTCTTCCCCACTCCCAAACTACCAGTCAGTACTTTAGCCTTGCAAAGTTTCACCAAAAGAAAGAACTGAAACTGGTCTACCTTCATTTTCAATAGTGTCTTTAAATACTACTCCCTTCTTTACACTTATATCGCCTTAATAGCACTTAATGAGTAGGCACTTAATCAGTAGGTGTATCTGAAAGAAGAAACTGGCTCTGTAATTGCAATTTAGTTGCCAGTCTTGATGAAGGGATGCAACATCTAACAGAATTCAGGTCTTTCTCTCATACTGAAAATACGTACAGAAATGGTTTGAGTGGCCTTTTTGTTCATAAGCACTTAGAAATTAAATAAATCCATAAAAAAAACTCCATTGGGGCCTATAATTTTTATCATCAGGTTTCAGCCTAGAGTGAGTTGAAACAGCTGAGATAAGACAATATCTATCAGGCTTTCTAATGTCTAGTGACAGAGCATTCCTTTTAATATTACTAATATGCACTTGAATCAGGGACCAGAAAGTGCATTTCTCAGTTCAAGGCAACTTATACTGTTACAATATTTACACGCAGGGTTGCACTTTAAGCTAAAAAGTCATCTCTATATTAAGAATTGTTTCAAGCTCTTAATGGAACTTATGCCACATACACAACCCTGCTCTTGGCAGCTCTGCTGCAGCAATGGAGGGGACAGAATGCTGCGTCATCTTGAATCTGGAATCACTGAATGGGTCATACAAATGACCTAATGGAGGTAAAGAGCTAATATCATATTTACCAGAATAAGATACGTACCTTGTTTTTTAATTGAATAAAAATATCTTTCTTTGTTGTAAGTAACTGAGTAGTAGCATCTAGGGAGCCAAGCTTGTTCGTTATTCTGCTCCCCATGGATTGCTGCAAATTTGATTTTTGCATTTGCCCCAATTAGCAGAAACTGTTCTTGCTGTATTTCTCACGTATAATGCACACCTCAATTTCCAGCATCTGATTTTTGGAAAAAATAAAAGGTGTGTATTATATGTGAAAAATGTGCTATACTGTGGTTTATTCCATGGCTCTCTGTTTAAAGAGAAGCAGTTAGTTCCAAAGCCAGCAATCACATACTAACAGCTGCAAGGAGCACCAACACGGCACACAATTAGCAATAGAAATTGAATAGAAAGGCTCTAATCCTGCAAAGATTTATGTACATATGTAACATTATGAGGATATTTCACTGACTTCAGCACTAAACACTTGCACAAGTGTTTAGTAGATCTGGGCCAGGGAGTGTCCCATAGTAAGCCAAACTACACCCATAGTATACTGACCATGCTTAGTAGGCTCCTGATCTCTGGTGACATCTCTTAGGCAAAAGAAGTAACAGACTCTTCAGAATACATGGTAGCCTGTGTTCTACAGGCACGTGTATGTCATGCTAACTCCAAAACAACCTCAATCTACACAATATTATAAATCAAATAATGCCACAGTACCCTTCAATTTAAGGAACTTAAGGCAATCTATAAACATAGAGGAACTCCAGACCACAAATGTCACCACTGCTAGGTCACAGCCCCAGCAGCGTGGGGCCATAGAAATCCTGGCCCCGCCATTCCTGGGGTCTCCATGGAAACCGGCTGCAGCGATGTGGGCAGGGGCTGCTGGGAAATGGAGTCCAGCTGCCTGTCAGATCTGCCATTTTGCTGACGCCTGCATTATAGGGTGACCTTCCTCCTTCTCCCACCTGAGTACTCAGGAGCCTGATGGTTAGGGCAATCTTTTAGCTGTGGGTCCAGCTTTCTCAAATAGGAAAGGAACTCACTCTTGGATCTTGCATTTCCTGGCTCTAATCTTCAGGCTATTTTTCTGCAAGATGGACATTGGGACCAGTGATACTTTGAGAGAGAGAGAGAGAGAGAGAGAGAGAGAGCCCTGCTCACTCCTTTGAAAGAATGAGCAGAGGCAGGGCTTGGCAACCTTTTGCTCCATGGGCCAGAGTTTTTATCCAGGCCCCTCCTGCCAACTGTAAATCTCCACTGTTCTCTCCCCACTGTCACATTAAATCCACCTGCACCTACCCTCACCAGCAGGCTTGAGAGAGCAGTAGGGAAGGCTGCAGAGACTGCAATATCACAGATGCCTTGGGTCTGGTTAGATCTTTGTGAGGCAGATGTAGCTCCTTCACAGGCTAGATCCACCCCACAGATTGCCAACCCCTGTGTATAGATGCTTACTCTGCAGAGGCTGATTCAGGGTTGTGGCTCCCAAGCAGCTTGAGATACTTGCCTGTAGCCCTGAGTTAGACATCTAAACCATAGAGGCAGCATTTAAGATGTCCCTCACTGGTTCCTTTTCGCTACAGACATCCGTAAGTTAGACACTGAAGCATCTAACTTTTAGGCTTCCAAATTCTCTGTGGGATGTAGACTGAAACACCTTTTCCCAAGCCTACTCTCCAGACTCAAGATGTGTGACCCATAGGCCTAGACAAAATAATTCTTCTCACTAAGCCACTGCAGCATAAAGAATGCACGTACCCTTCCACTAAAAAAGACAAAAGGCTTTAGTCTATTTAAATTGTAGCTGAGGGGCAATGAGAAAGTCACTTTGTACTCACCATAAATGTTTTCTCTGAGATCATCCATAAACCCCTTAAGCAGGCTCTCTGCAAAAAGTGTGGCACCCGCATGGTCCAGGTAAGTAATTCCTAAAATAAAAGAGTACAAAATATATTATATTCTAATCTCACTTCCAGGGTTGAGTTCCTAATTAAAGCAGAAGCCACATCAAATTTGTAAAGATACTTTTATATAATGGAGTCTGAAAGCTTATATGCGCAACTAGTTTTTTCTCTTTATCTAAGGGGGTGCTGTAACATTCACCACTGAAATATATATACGTGTCCCATGTAAACTCAGAGTCAGACAATATTGACAAAAAACCCTTTTAATTTACTAGCAGCAAAACGGACTACTACATCTACAAGCTTTGATCCTACCTTATATTTTGATATTTAATTATTAATTGATTATTATTTTTATAGAATCATAGCATCATAGACAATTAGGGTTGGAAGGGATCTCAGGAGGGCATGTAGACCAACCCCTTGCTCAAAGCCGGACCATCCCCAATTAGATCATCCCAGCCAAGTCTTTGTCTAGCCATGTCTTAAAAACCTCCAAAGATGGAGATTCTTGTTCTGCATTTGTTCAGCACGCAGCACACACAACACAGTCCTGAACTAGGATGAGGACTCCTGGGTATTACAGTGACACAAACAATACATAATAATTGTATTGCTTAATGACTGAAAGACTAATCAATACTCTAAAAAAATTAGCAAAGCTAGAATGCTGTACATAGGGAAGTCTCAAGCTGCCTGAAGCCAAATAAAAAACTAATTTGTTTTAATTTATTTAAATGTTTCAGCCCATATTGTTGAACATAATTTTCAATTCATGTTTCAAGTCTCTTTTTATAATTATATTTATTGCAAAATAAATTTGTTCTAGCTAAAAAAAATATCTAACAGGAATAATGGTCTTGTTTAGTCATTTTAGCTGTTTTTAACATTCGGCAATTATTCTTCCACTTCTTCAGCACGTCTCTGGTCTTTTATTATTCTTCTTCATCTCACTTTAAGTATTCAACCTATTTCAAGCTTTAATAACAATGAGTATGATTAAGATTAGAATTTAATAGGTCTTTAAAAGGTCTTCCCTTTCCACAAAGCTCAGGCTTTCAACGAAAATTCTTGGCACTTATGTAATATATGCATTATTATGTTGTTAAAGTCGTGCCTCTGTAAGTAAGGATGGCAGATATTTACAATTATAAAATCAGCCTGGACATCCATCCTTTCTATGACTTCCATAAGAAAGCATCTCTCATATGTGGTGTCTAGTCAAAGAGTGTTTTAAAAATACCTATTTGAAGTTAATCAGGAAAAGCATTTGGAAGAGCTTTGGAAAAAAGGAATGGTTATTGGTTTGGTTTATTATTTCTGAAAAGTCATCTAAATTTTTTTCCCCTAAAAGTGTATCTCAGAGTTATTAGCAGTACTAAAATCAAAAGACAGATATCATCAATACTACAGACTGTAAAATACCTTCCCCAACATATACACATGTATATTATATATATTATACATAATATACACACTCACAATTTCTTCAGTGCCACCAAAGCTGTCTATGGCCCTAACATTCAAGGCCTTAATCCTCTAAGATCAAAGGATGGAACTACACTCCTGAAAGACAGCAAACCCATCTATGCTCACTGGAAAGAATATTTCCTGGACCTTCTGAATCGTGACTCAACTGTCGATGAAGATAAGATCTACCACTTTCTGCAAAAAGCAATCAGAGAAGACCTCGGTTTGCCACCTACCCTGACAGAGGGTGGGAGTGCCATCAGGAAAACGAAGAATAACAAGGCACCGAGTGTTGATGGAATACCTGCAGAGATTTTTAGAGGAGGAGGAGAACAACTTACATGTCAGCTTGATGTCCTCATCCTTAAAATCTGAAACAAGGAAGAAATCCCAGCCGACCTAAGGGATGCCTTGATTGTTCCTATCTTCAAGAAAGGGGACAGAGCTGATTGCAGAAACTACTGAGGCATCTCATTGTTGGCCAGTGCTGGGAAAGTCACCGCCCGTATCCTCGCTAACCACCTTCTCCCACTTGTAGAAGAAATTCTTCCAGAATCTCAAAGTGGCTTCAGACCATCTCGAGGAACTGAGGACATGATCTTTACAGCACGTCAAATCCAGGAGAAGTGTCGTGAGCAAAATCAACCTCTCTATTTGGCCTTCATCGACTTTTCTAAAGCCTTTGATTCTGTAAACTGCAACGCCCTATGGAAAATCCTGTCCAAAATTGGCTGTTCAAACAAGTTCATCAGTGTTCTGAGACTTCTTCATGACAACATGTCAGCAAGGGTTCTCAGCAACCAGAACCAAACAGAACCATTTGAGGTGAAAACTGGAGTAAAGCAAGGTTGCGTCATTGTCCCCACTTTGTTTTCCATCTTCATCTCCACTATAATGCACCTTGTCAACAGAAAGCTCCCAACTGGAATTGAAATTTTGTATAGGATGGACAGAAGACTTTTCAACCTCAACAGATTTAAGTTCAAAACATAGACCACGACAACATCCATAATGGAGCTCCAGTATGCAGATGACCATGCTATCATTGCTGAATCTGAAACGGACCTCCAAAACATTCCTAATGTATTCTCGGAAGTCTACAATAGTATTGGCCTAACTCTAAACATCAGGATAACCAAAGTCCTTTACCAACCTGCTACAAGTGGGGAAAAAAGCCCCCTCATTGAAATCAACTGAGAATTGCTGGAGAACATGGATCGCTTCACCTATCTTGGAAGCCATCTTTCATCAAAGGCAGACATAGATGCAGTAATACAACACCGCCTGAAATACGTGAGTGCAGCCTTTGGTTATCTGAGTAAGAGAGTCTTCTTAAATCATGGCATCCTTGCTGAAACAAAGCTCTTGGTTTATCAAGCCACTGTCGTTCCAACTCTGCTGTATGGTTCAGAAAGTTGGACCATATACATTAGATATCTCATGAACTTGGAAAAGAACCACCAACGGTGCCTTCAAAAGATCCTTCAGATTAGCTGGGAGGATAGACACACAAACATCAGCGTCTTGGCCGAAGCAAATTTCAACAGCATTGAGGCCACGATCCAACTTCGCTGGACAGGTCATATTGTTCACATGCCTAACTCCCGCCTTCCAAAGAATCTTTTTCTTACAACTGAAAGAAGGTCAGTGAAGTAGAGGACAAAGAAAGTGCTTCAAAGACACCCTGAAGGTAAACATGAAGAGGTGTAACATCGACATCAACACTTGAGAGACCCTTGCTCAGAACCGACCAAAATGGAGGAAGACTCTTTGGTAGGGACCTCAACACTTTTCAAACAGCTTGTCAACAGGCAAAATAGGAACAGGCAAAAAGAACATCAGAACATCCAACACAGCAACATGGTTCCCATTCCTCCTGGAAACTCCTGTTCTCACTGTGACAAGACATGTGGATCTGGAATTGGGCTATAGAGCCACCTGCAGACTCACTATTAAGATCCTTGGAAGACAATCTTACTCGTTCACGAGTGATCACCCATCATCATCATCATGTACTATAAAACAGAAAAAAAGTGATACTGGTATTAAGATAATAGGATATTTTACCATCCCAAACTTAGGGGGAAAAGTAATTGTGGTGGTGCTTTTCTTTTATATATACTTGTTCCCCAAATGGAGGGTATAAAAATACCTATTCTACCTGTTCAACAACCCCCTAAAGTTTTAAGCAGGTCAAATGATAAACACTTCTCATCCTAAATACTACAGGGACCTTGGTTTCAACCCTAAGGTGAGTTCATTTACAGGAAGTTTAACTAACTGAGAAAAGAAACTGATGACTTTATGTAAATTAAGACTGCATTCAACAGGCATTTATTATTATTTATCTTATTATTATTTATCTTTTTATTGCATTTTATATAACACTTTTCCCTGTGTTTCAATTCAGTAGAACTTTATATTTTTAGACAAAATATTTATCCAACGTGTATAACATCAGAAAGAAAAATGTGTTAATCATTTCCAATAACACTTTCTTTTTAACTTTATTAGCTATACTTATTAACCAAAGAGATTTGTCAGTATATGGCAGAACATTTAAGTGTCTATACATCTATATGGTATTCAGTGTACAGTCTACCAGCAATGTAAAATTATATTGCTTATCAAAAGTACCAAGAGGAAAGAAATTAAAATGTAATATGATCAGCACAAAGAAATTAAAGTATCATTTTTATTAGAATCCTCTCTCTTATTTACTGAAAGGGAAACTGATAATCTGTTTGATACCATCTTGAACTTAATTTACATAAACGCTATTTTATTTTGGAAGAAAAATTTGCCTCATTGATCTAGAAATGGATTGACCATTTGTTTCCTTCTTTTCCATGTCCTTGTGAAAGGGTATTTAGCAGAGTTTGCAGATTCATTAGAACCTGACAGAGCTGCACCGTGCCCTGGGTGCACAGGAGGTATTTCTGCTATGGCTTCACACTTGCAGCCTCTGAGCTGGCAACCATTTGCCTTAGAATTCACATCACCTCAGCCTCCAACCAGATCTGAAATCGACATTCTGCAAGAAAGTGTTGAAAGTGAAAGCTGAAAAGGATTAACTTGAAAGTACTAGTTTCAAAAAGTTTCTTAGCAAGAGTATCAGTTTATTTAAATAGTTTAAATGCTTGGAGCTTAATACACTTGTGAGATAATTCTATATATGGGTTCCTTTCAAAAAATCTGCAATTTTATCTCCTGATTAAAGGGTAAAACATCCCCAGTCCTCTGCTCTCTTCATGTATTAGAAACAACCACTCTTGATAAAACATTTGTTATAGTTCCCACATACTACTTTCAGATTCCAAATAGTACTAGAGACGGACAGGAATGAGGGCAGCAAACAGGCTTAAAATGCTAAACTGTCCCCACCCAGGCCTGGTTACTGAGTGGGCCTAGCTGCTAAAGGCCTGTCAACTAGTGCCAGTAATCTGTATGGGTCTGGCATAAGTAGAAGCCCCTTCAGTGTCCAACAGGCTACTCTTAGAGAAAATGTTTCTCTGGCTTTCCTTGGAATTTTGACTGCATGTTCTTAATTTCCT